CCAGGCTTGGTATTCTGGGTTGTGAAAAAAGAAATTCAAGGCCATCGTTTTGCTCCCCCAGCCCCCTCTGCAGTGTGTCCAGTTCTCTGAATCTCCCAACTGCAAAGGCTCCTGGAACACCCCACCCAAGTTCTTAGTGCAAAAAAGAAATGTAATGCACTCTAATCGGCTACCTGATATTGTGGGGAAGGTTTTGGTCTGGGAGAAGCTCAGTGAATATTTTTTGATTCACTGAAGGCAGGTGCTGAAAAATAGCCAGTTTCGCAGGTGCACTAACAACATATAAACTCGGAAACACGGTTGAAGCGTAGACGGAGACCATCCCCATCCCAGGGCGGTTGGACCGCAGCCTCGCTGTGCAGGTGGACTCCTAACTCGTTCTCCATCGGGGTCCCTGGCCTCCTCCCGGCGGCTCTCACGGACCCTTGGCTGTGCAGACACTTTGCATTTCATCCTCCCTGTCTCTGCAGACAGTCTCTGCCTTCCCTAACCCCACCCGGTAGAAACACAAAGAAGGGGCTCTCGGGGAGCGATAAGGTAGGAGCAAAATGCGGTGGTGGAGGGAGTTGGTGGGAGCTGCAGAGGGGTTGCCTCCACGGACGCTGGCTTGCGAGACTGCTCTCTCCTGCCGACCCCCGGTTCCCCGGGCTGTTCGGGGGCTTGCTCTGCTGGTAAAGTGCCCACAGGCAGGGGCCGTTCCCTGGCTAGCACAATGCCCAACACAGAGTTGACACGCATTGGTGCTAGTTTAGTTCTTCATTTCTCTGTTTGTTTCTACGTCCCTCCCTGTAGGGAGTGTGTTGAGACTCCCTTCTGCTGGGTCACACACGGGGAGGGCACGTGGTATAAGTATGTCATCTCACGGAATCCGGGAGGGGCTGGTTTTCGTATACTGGCTGGAAACTGGGCGTGGGCCTATATACTGGAACGTATATACTCTTCTCGTTACCTCCCACAATTCCCGGTCCCAGCGAAGATGCTCATTAGCTCTCTCTGGATCCTACCAGCTACAGCCCGAGGAGCAGGCTTGCGGGTCAGAAACTTCACTGCCTGCAGCCATTTCTGTGGTCCAGGGACTGGGAGGGGGCCTTTCCTGCGTTGGGAGAGGGTGTCAGATACCCCAGTAGGTGTCCGGGAGGGGTGTGCACAGCGCTCTCACTGGGGGCACTTGGATTGACAATTCTGGGGCCGGTGGCTGTGGGGAGAATTCCCTGTGGTAGACTGCGTCTTGTGTGAGAACGGTTGAAACGTGTCCGTGAGATACAGAGGAGCCGTCTTCTCTTTGGTATGACAAATAAAAGTTATTTTCTTAAAAAGCTGACTTTCTGATAAGATGTCCAACTTAGAGTGTGTCATTATTTTTCTGGAGGTTTAAGAGCCAATGAGCAGTAGGTACCTGACTCTGGCACTTTCCTTATAGAGAATCAGGTATCAGCCCCCGACACGGGTGGCATCAAAGGACATGATATTAGCACCGGATGCAGAGGGGTCTGCCGCACGATTTTGATTTTTCCATGGATAGTTGCTATATTTTGAAAGGCACTCTTTGATTCATGAACTCTGAACTGCTTGGGGTTCTGAGTTCCGTTCCTACTTAAGTTTCGTGGCAGGAAGCCAGGGTCAAACGTGACATCTAGGGATAAATTAATCTCCGCCTAATTCCTCTTGGCTAATGACTGGATTAAACTAGTAAAATGTGTACTGTTTCTTTCCTGCCTTCCTTCCTGCAACAAACACGGGAGAGTGTGCCTTCCTGTTAGAGTCCGTTCCTGTAGTTCAAGAAAGATCAGTTCATTTTCAAACTTATTTTAAAGGAAATGTCATAAAGCTAGAGGTTATCCTAGCCCGGACAGGTGTGAGGTCTGTGCTCTAATCTGGGAGCCCGGGAACATTTTCTGTCGAGGGTCCGGCAGTAAATATTTTTGGCTCTGCGGGCCGTACAGTCTCGGACACAACCACTCAACTCTGCTTTTCAGTTTCAAAGCAGCCGCAGACAGTATGTAAATAAATGAGCGTAGCTATGTTCCAATTAAGCTTTTTCTTGTGGACACTGAACTTTGAATTTCATATGGTTTCCGTGTGTCATGTGGCATGTTCTTCTTTTCAATTTTTATTCCAACACTTAAAAATGCGAAACCCATTCTTAGCTCAGAGACTCTACTGAAACAGGTGATGGGCGGGATTTGAGCTGTGCCCGTTAGTGTGCTGACCCCTGCTCGGACCACGTGAGCAGAGGGTCCGCACACGTGTGTGGCCATCTTGGTTTAGTTTCCTTACTTCACGGGCATGCTTGAAGGAGAATTCCGAAAGAGCGACGCTTCTCTTGAGTGTAGTCTTGAGCTCCTTCTTTCTCCGCTTATGTAACGTTAGTTAGCATTGCACTTCCCTGGGTTTGGAGTGGGAGCCCTGCACTGGGAAGGCCGCTTTAAGACGGAGCGCTGGGAGCGGCGTGCTGAGCAGGCCTGTAGGTGTGCAGTCTTGAACACCAGGGGGAGAGATGATTCGGGGGAGAAGCCGTTTCAAAACAGTTCTAATTGTTCAGGCAAGTTATTTTTACCCGTCTTGAGAGGACCAAGAAATGATCACATTGTTATTATTTTTACATATTATATTTCAAAACAGCTGTTCTGCTAAGAGCGGTGAAACACCAAGTTTTGATTTTACTAATTCAAGGCAAAATTTCCACGGCATCAGGATGTTGTCCTCTCGAAAATTTACCGTAGGAGACTGGAACTCAGGGCTCTGAGGCGCCTCTTTGTAGAAGAGAAGGCAAGTGCTTCTGCTACAGGCTTAGAAAAGCAGGAGAAGTACAGGAAAATGAGAACTATATTAAAATATACAGTACAGTGTGTAATATATTCTATATAAAATTTTCTTACAAATCAATGGTGATCACAGTAGCTGAAACACAGGGTCTGGCACAGGTAAGGCCCGCTTGGGTGTGGTCGGTCGGGTGATAATATGGGTATAATAATCTATAGTTCTAATTTGAACATTTCACCTAAAATGTCATAGGGTGTGCTTGAGCGTGATGTTGTCATGTTACAGAATCACATGCTTGTGATTTTGTAATAAGAGGGGGGCATGATTTGTGCCGGGCACTGTATGTTATCGTCACGGAGAAGGATCTCCCCCAGTGTCCACATCATGGAGTTGGGAGCTGCCAGATGCCTGCAGGCGCCGGATGCCCCGTGCGAGCCCCGGTCTCCCCCTCCCCCTCCCTGTCCTGTCTGTGAGGTGAGCGAAGCAGGACTCAGGGATGCCCAGCCCTTGCCCACGGCCCCATAGCTGATGAGCGGTGGAGCCGGAGGTGCGGTCTGTCTGTCCATAGGAGCCCAGTTCCTGCTTCCCCGCCGTGACCACGGCCAGTCTCTCGGGGCACCTCGGGGTCGGAGCACCCCGGGCTCCAGAGCTGAGAGGTGCCACGGGCCCGTGACACCGGCTGCCTGTGGATCGATGAATCTTGCCATCGCCCTAAGGAAACGGTCAATGTGAGTGTGGTTCCAGGTGTCCCTGGGAGCATTTGTAACTAAAGTTCCAACGACAGCCGATACCTAAAAATTCTTACTACTCTAAACATACGTGGTCAGTTGAAGAAGAAGATTCAGTTCCTGGGACATTCGTCAACCTGCGATCCAGTGGGCTGGCGGGTTGGTTTCTCGGGCCCCCTGAAATGTTATGGAGAACACTGCACATGTGTGTACACGGGCCCTTTTGGGGGAGCAGGGGGCAGGGTTTCTAATTGTAGTCGGACTCTGGACTCTCTGCTCCCTAAACTCAGTTGCAGGACCACTTAGGAGTGCACCTCACTGACCCTTTTAATGTTGACAAGTGTTTGCTCATTGCGTCCCATGCCATCACAACCCGTGAGGTTGAGTTACTTGCAGTCCCACAAGAGCTTGAGCACAGACAGCACTGTCATTGACCTGTGACACTGGGGGGACTCTAAGGGACTGGCTGGGCACTGGTTTCTGCACACCGGCCCCCTGCCCCCGACACAGAACACTGCGATCCTTAATGTGTGGTGGCTGCTTGCTGGTGGCAGGGAAAGACTTCCCCTGTGTGTAGACCTTGCCTAACGCAGCCATTCCAGGTCCCGGGAGGACCAGCGATGGGCGTCATAAAATGCAACACCATGTCCCAAGACTGCCACTTTCTAGCTGTGGGACCTCAGTCGAGTCTCTCTCGGCCTCAGTTTCCTCTTTTGTAACCATAGGGTCCGCTGTAGGATCGCTAGCCTCTCCCCCACCTCCCCAAGTTTCAGGAGCATCCTATTTGGCGCAGCCACATTGGGAAGAGCCGAGCCGAGCCGTTGGGAACGGGCTAGGGCTCGGTCGCGAATTGCACAACGGACGGCCTCCGTGTGAAAGCGCCTGGCCACCGATACGAGTCACTCTGATAATCATCCCTCGGCGGGGGACAGCCGAGAAGTAATCTCGGGGCTCCGGGCCGGTTCGGGGACAGCGGCCGGGAGGAAGTGGGCGTGGCGACTTCCCGACTTCCTTGTTTGGAGTCAACTTTGGCAGCATCTGCCCGGCTGCGCTGTTTGCTTTTCCATCTGTTGGTGTGCTTTTTGCGAGCTCTCCTGCCTGCCAGAGAAAACATCCAGGAGCACGACGCCGAGCCTGAGCCGTTCCCTTGGGCCCCCAAACCCCACCAGCCTCCAGAGAGGGGCAGGCGAAGCCGAGAGAGGAAACAGACGTGCCTGTAGCGCGCGGGTCTCAGAGGCTCCCGGAGACCCGGGTGGAAAAGACGGGCCTTTCGGCTCCCGCCCGCCGGCCCGCACACGCACACGCACGCTCGGTGCGGGTGCCGCCTGCCTTCCGCGGCTCTGCCGTCGCATCTGAAGTTGGCGCTGGAGCCGGGGCAGTTGCCATGCCGGCTGGCTCTGCCGCGCGCCTAGTGCGTTAGCCGCCTTTGCGGTCCCCGCGCCCCGCTCGCCACCGGCGGGCGGACCTGCGGACCTGCCGGCTCGGCGCGCGGCGCGCAGCGCGGCCGGGGGAGGGGACGCGGCCGAGCGCGGGGCGTGGGCGCGGGGCTGCTGCTGTGCCGCTGCGGGACCGCGGACGCCGCGGGCCGGCGGAGCCGAGCCATGACCGACGCCGGCGGCAGGAAAGAAGGCTTCAAAAAGTGCAGGAGCGCCACTTTCAGCATCGATGGCTACAGCTTCACCATCGGTGAGAACTTTCCTCCCCCGTCCGACTTGTGGCTGGGGCGAGCGCTCTTCCTGGCGGTGGCGGTGAGGGCGCTTTCTAAACGCGGGATCTAGGGGGCGGCCAGAGGTCAGGCAGGGCCGCGAGGCACTCGCCAGGAGCCTGGGGAGCGGCGACAGGGCCGGGGAGGTCCTGCGTGTGGCCGGGTCGCTGCGACTGGGGCTCCCCGCGGCGCCCCTCCCTCCGCTCTAACCCGGCTTCCCCGGGAAGCTGCGTCTCTGAAGGGCTCGGTTTCCTTGCTGTGATTTTAGTAACTCGGGAGGGAGACAGACAGGGACGGAGGCAGAGAGATGGAGATAGAAGTAGCGAGAGGGAAGTCCGCGGCAGAAGGACGTGGACATGAGGGACACTGAGAGACACACACAGAGGGACCCACCGAGAGGCGGAACGACCGAGGCAGCTAGACACGGAGACATTGATGGGAACGCCAAGACACCGGGTCAGAAAATAGAGACAAACAGATGCCAAGACAGAGACGAATAGACGGAGTGACAGACAGGGTGGACAGCGACAGGAGCCAGAGAGGTGCAGAGGATGAGAGAGACAGACATAGAAATAGGTTCAGAGAGAGAGACTGGGTGATAGTTTCTGCGAAAGTTGACAGAGAGAGAGAGGGAGGGAGAGAGGGAGAGAGAGAGAGAGGGAGAGAGAGAATGAATATGCAGGCAGGCAAGGATGCACTGTGTTACTGAAATATTTGCGGAGAAGCTGCCTCTTGCCCTCTGATCTCCCAGTGGCGCACTGCTTTCTTTAAACCCTTTACCAGGAGGGGCACGGGAGGGGGCTGCAAGTCTCACTGTGGCTGTCAGAGGGAGCAGGACCCTCTGCAAGCTGAACTCAAAGAGGTCGCTTCTTGATGTTTGTGGTCCGGCGCTGGGCACTGTTTTCAAACAAAGATCCGGACTTGCCTCCTCACCTCTCCAGGAGGTGGGCGGAGCCTGGGAGGCTAGGGAGCCTGGAATGTGGGTTTGGAGACCAAGCCAAGCCCCCAAGCCTTTGAAAGTGAGGGGTATGTTAATTTGCTTTTTGGGGTGGTGCGAGCTTGGAGGTGGAAGAGGAAATTGCTCAGGGCAGGAAGAGACCAAGGGACAGGTGCTCACCTCTGGACCGCTTTGGATCCCTCTAACGAAGTGGCCCCAGTGGGCCATGGGCTGGACACGTTACTTCCAGAATGAAGTCTAAGCTCAAAATTAAGTCTAATTTTCTTAAACAAAATGCAATCATAATGTTTGGTAATCGAATATTTCTTATTAGATTTGTTTCTGCTGTGTATAGAATAGTTCATCAGTCTCCTCGAGTTGGCTGTTTAGGTTGCTTTTAAGTTTTCCAGAATACACAGTGGAAAAAGACAGCATCTTTGCACACATCCATGAATACTCTTTCAGGGTAGATTTCTAGGAGTTCGATTGCTTGGTCCCAGAGGATGTATATTTTGGGGGCTTTTAAAACATGTTGCTTAACTCGCCTCTGGAAATACCAGTTCACACTCCCACCAGCTGTCTGTCAAGTTACTCACGTACTCCCCTGAGCACCAGACACGTTAATTTAGGAAGAAGTTGCTGGTTTGAGAGGTGGAGGGTAGCATCTCAACGCCACGCGCATTTCACTTCTTTTGTGAAATCGCCTTTTCATGTCCTTGGCCTGTATGTTTTTCCTCTGGGGAAGTTTACCATCTATTAATTTGCAAGTACTCATAGTGGATAGAGTCGATATTAATTATATATGTAATCAAGGTATTAACTATATAATATATAATGGTAATTGCTAGATATTAACTACTGTACTATGTAGTATATGACTACTACATATTTGTCACATAATAATTATATAACTAATATGGTCATGTAAACATTATGCACACACATGCACTTATCTTTGTGTGTGTATACTTTCAAGTCTACCTGTCACGGGTATTACAGGTATTTCTTCCCAGGTTGAGGGCTCACACTCCTGCAGTGTCCGTGTGGGGCACTGGTGGTCAGGACTTGCTTTGCGAACAGACCGATGTCTTGTAGTCCACACCGGTGGCTGCCAGCTTGTCACACAGCTTTGGCAGGAAGGAGTAGGTGGGCAGCCCCCCTCCTGCAGGTGGAAGAGGAGCCTGATGAGATCCCGGTGGTCCCCAGGCCTCTCCTTTCCTCAGGTGTCCGACCCTTTGCCCTTGGGAAATCACTTCCTCTTCCAGGCTGCTAATTATGCAAACTCTCTGGGTCAGAGCGTGTCGCTGAAGGAACTCGAGTTACGTTGGGTACGTACTGGCATGTTCAGAGAATACTACCAGGGGAGGCCTATGAGGGAAATGGGGGTCCCGGGGACCCTGCGGGAGGGAGGTGGGACCCACCCGCTAGGTCAAGGAGCAACTTTCCTTGGAGGGCTCCTGCCAGAATTTCTCTCTGAGAGTGGACACTCCTGGGCTAGGAGGAGGTGTCCACTTCCCGTGCAGACTGGGCAGGGAGGAGGCTTCAGCTGTGGTTCTCTGGGAGGGGTGGTACTTCCCAGGGGTCTGCTATCTGGGACACTTCAGGGAGTCCCCATGCCGGGTCGCTGGGGACAGTCTCTGTAGTGAGCAGAGGTCAGAGAGTTCAACGTCCTGCAGTGCGTGGGGATGGCCCCGAACAGTGAGGAGTTGCCCCGAACACCGGTAGCACCCCCAAAGAGAAACACTGGGGGTCCCTCTGACATGCAAGCCTGGGGCTCCAGCCCCAGCCCCCGCCCTGCATGCAGGGGCTCTGGGACGCTGGGGCTGAGGCTGGGCTGAGAAGAGGCAGCCATGGGGGGTGGGCACTGAGGGGGCATTTCGCTCACCACAACCCTGAAAGGCGGCTGTTAGCACCCCAGGTTAGGGGAAGGAACTCCTAAGACCCCGAGAGCAGGCAACTCGCTGAAAGCCACAAGCTGGCTAGTGGCAGAGCTGGGTTCAAGCCACTGCTGTCTTGACCCCTCAGGCCAGGGCTTGTCCGCACCACGCTGCCTCTCACCGTGGACTTGACTTTGGCCTGGGCCTGGACACCAGCCCCTCACCTCCATGAAGAGGGATCGGGGAGTTTCCGCTAAGCCGGTGCAGGCTGGGGCGAAACCAGAGAGAGCCGAGCTTTGCCACAGGCGGGGTGGGGCTCACTCCGGGAGGATCAGGTGGAGGAAACCAGCTTTGTTGACCTGCCTCCAGCCACGGCCGCCTGTTCAGCCCTGGGCTCCTGTGTCCCAGGGCCAGTGGCCTTTCGACCTCTTTACATCACTTTCTCAGGCGAGGGAGCCAGGTACGTGGCGAAGGGGTCTGGGACACACGACTCTGAGGCGGCACACGGGCCCGTCCAGAAGGTGCTGGGTGTCGTGGGGCCTCCACGGTCCGACAGCTCCCTCCCCAGGAAACCCCCCGGGCTGTGCTTGCGCTGACCAGCAGAGCGAGTGGCTGCGGGCGGCGGGGAAGGGTGTCTGTCATCGTTTCCCTGTCTCTTGGGACTTGGGTGCCTCTTTGGGTTTGTGTTACGTCAATTCATAGATTCTGACTTTCTCTCTGAGGCTGCCGAAAATACATGCATTCTCCCCCAAAAGGGAAGTATTTCTGCAAAACACAAAGCGCTTTTTTTTTTAAACCACCTTCACTCTCTTTTGGTTCTCATTTTGCAGATGAGAAACTAGGCTCTGGAGGCCCCCATTTCCCTCCTTTCCATGGTGATGGCCTTTGGGTATCAGAGGGACATGGGGAAGCCAGGCCGGCCGGAGGGTGTAAAACAGGAGGGGCGTGTAGAGCAGAGAAGCTGCTTCCCTCAGCAATGGACCTGGTCGTGTTGTGGAAAATTCTAGGCCTGTCCTGAAAGAGGCGTTGCTAACGGAGGGATGCGTTTCCTGTAGCAACTGCCACCAGCTCCCTCGCCCCTGCGTTTCTCTCTGTGAGATTGTCCCAGAGGAGGAAAAATAAGGGGCCCCTAGACAGCAAGCGGAGGCCCAAGGGGCTGGGGTGAGGGTTCCCTGTCCCGCCCCCGGACTGCTGGGCGCTGGGAACCGAGCTGAGTGCGGGGGAGGCCTGCTGGCCTGTACTCCTCCTAGAGGGGTTCCTGGGTGGGCAGGGCTCCGTGGGTGGTCCAGGCTGGGGTGACTTGGCTGCAGGCATGAGGGGTGTGGCCCACTCTCCAGCCCAGGCACAGAGGCCTGGCCTCCCTTGGGGCACATGGCTGAGGACTCTCTCAGCCCGGACTAATCTTGGCGCTCTCGGCCAAGTGTGCTGTCTGGGCGGGTGGGGCCGGGGGCAAGACCTCTGGGCATTGTACACCTGGTTGGGGGGATAGTGGGGAGCAAAGAACCGCATAAGGATCTGAGGTGAAATATTCCACGGCTGTCCATCAGGACCAGCCGCCCTGACTCTCCCCTCCTCCGCATAGCGCCCTCAAGACTGGAGCGGAGCCGGTGGGGCAGCCTGCGGAAGGACAGGTCATCAGACCGGAGCCCACGGTCCTTGCTCTGGCAGTCACCTCCGCCTTCTCGTCCCCCTTCTGCACCTTGGGCACGCCACTTCCCCTCTCTGAGCCTCAGTTTCCTGACATGTGAAGTGGGGAGTATGCTCTGTAGATTTGGGGCTGTGGTGGGGACCCAGGGCCATGCAGGACTCTGAGTGGCTCCTGGGGGCGGGGGGGGGGTGGCTGGTCACCAGAAAGACCAAGCCATGGTTAGAAGCTTGGCATTGTCAGCCAACTCTCCTCCCTCACCTTCTGCAGAGCGGGAGAAGGGCTAGAAATCAAGCCTCTGTAAGAACCCCAAAAGTATGGGGTCTGGCGAGCTTTCAGGTTGGTGACCACATCTACATACAGGAAGGTGACCACCCCAACCCTCCAGGGACAGAAGCTCCCGTCCTTGGAACCCTCCCCAGTCTCGCCCCAAGCTCCCTGGCTGTTCTTCCGTACCCTTCATCCAGTCCCCTAGTGAACTGGTGAACGCAGCGTCCCCTGAGTGCTGGGAGCTGTTCAAGG